TGGCTTTCGGCATGCCATCCTCACTCAGCTTCATCATTTTTAGCTTTTGATTTAAAGTGAGAGATGTGCAACTCTTCCTTTTCATTTGAACACTTAGATGACATTGTAGGGTATTAATTGGCCTAGTTTCAGTATTGTGTCTCAGAGAATAGGAAAGCCAAAAGAGAGAGAGAGAGAAATGGGGGAATGGCCAGTTGATGAAGCCGTCAGAACACAACATTTATCAAGTTCATTGTCTTATATGGGTATGGTTTGTGGTGCCCCAAAACAATTACAATAATAACATCTAAGATCACTAATCACAGATCATCATAACAAGTACAATAATATTGAAAAAGTTCTGAAATACTGTGAGAATTACCAAAGTGTGACACAGAGACACAAAGGGAGCAAATGCTGTTGGAAAAATGGTGTCAGTAGACTTGGTTGATGCTGGGTTGTCACAAACCTTCTATTTGTAAAAAACACAGTACCTGTGAAGTACAGTAAAGCAAAACACAATAAAATGGAAGTATGCCTATATGCTGGTGACTCCCAAATGAATATCTGTAGTCCATACCTTTTCTTTAAACCCCAGACTCTACCTACCTACCAGTTCATTGTCTTGGATGTATAATCATCATCTCAGAGTTACCATTGTTATCAAAAACAATAGCAAGGGCTTATCTATATAATACCATGTGGGAGGCACTGTTGTCCCCAAATGGACTCTTCTTTCCTCCTATACCTACTTGTATCATCTTCCTCTTGTTAGCAAATGGCAGATCCATAATTCAAGCTACTTAGGCTGAAAACCATGAATTATTTCTTTTAATTCTTTCTCTTGTGTTTTTCATTCAGCAAATGCTGTTGCTGGTCAGAGTCTGATCACAACCATCTTCACTACTGCCAACTACTTCAAGTCAGTTAAGTCTCAATATAGCAGCCAGGTGGAACCTGTTAAAATCTAGATTAGATCATTTCACCTCTTTGCTCAAAATCTCCAAAGGTTTCCCATGTCTCAGACCATCTAGATGAAGTTGGATGACTCAGTCAGCTGTGGCTCAGCCTGACCTGAATGGTCCAAGACAACCTCACTCATATGTCTGGACCCTCAACTAAGATGGCTGTGATAGGTAGGAAAACTGGGTTTCTTTTTTCCAAGTGGTCTGTCATCCTTAACTTCATAACATAGTGGTGGTGTTAGCAAAAGGGCAGGCTCAAACACACAGGTGTTTATCAAGCCTGTTTGTATCATATTTGGTAAAATACAATGGGCCAAAGTAAGTCACATGGCCAGTCCAGGATCAGTGTGTGAAGGGAATTAATAAGGTGCAGTTGCCAAGTGGTGTGTGATTCATTGGGAGCCATTAATATTAACATAACAATCATCCATAGGCGCTCTGTGGCCTGTTAATTTATTAAATTATTATTTGTTAAATTATTTGATTTTAATATACCACCCCTTTCTTCAGTCAGATAGGAAAATAATAAAGAAGGAACCTGACTAGGTGAAGCTGATGTCTGGAGATATGAAGTAAATAATGGCTTTTTGGTAGAAAAATCAGATTTGATTTTTGTATATCTTATATTTTTAATTTCAGAGACCACCAAGAAGTAGAGAATACTATATGTACTATAATCATTTATAGATTCTTTAAAAAAAAAAAAAAAAGGTTAGAGTGTGAGAGAGCCAAAGCATAAGAGACTCTTAAAAACTGAGAACAAACTGAGGGCTGATGGGGGATGGGAGGGAGGGGAGGGTGGGTGATGGGTATTGAGGAGGGCACCTTTTGGGATGAGCACTGGGTGCTGTATGGAAACCAATTTGACAATAAATTTCATATATTGAAAAATAAATAAAAATAAAAAACATAAAAAGTGAAAAAAATTATTTATAGATTCTTTTATTTAATTAAATCAGACCGTATCTTTTTGCTAGCTATTTGAGTTAATTAACTTGTCCGTTGTCATTTCACATATTATTTCCCTACTCCACATTGGGAAGTAGTACTTTATTTTTGTTTAACCTTAATTTATATGGTGTTTTACATTATATAAAGGCTGTTTGCTCTTTTTTTCAAATCTAGTTTTTGTTTCATGTCACCTATCAAAGGGTATAGTTACATACTTGTTTTCTTCAAATCACCTCTTTGTATTTTGTTATGTTGCCCCATGTCATTTTTTTCTCTTATTGCCATTTCCAGTAAATCTACTCTATTATTACATTGATACTTGTTTTAAGTCTAGTGTCTAATCATATTTTGGCTTTCATTGTTCTGCCTTTGTTTGGAATTCTCTTAACCTTCTCTTGCCATCAAAAGTATGTGCAAGCATTTACTTCATAATAACTTCAAAGATAGTCTTACCTGCTCATTTACATATTCAGGTGCTAATTTTATTAAAAATTGTTTTTTCCTTTTTTTTTTTTTTTTTTTACTTAAAAGGCATTTAGTTTTCATTTCTAATATATTATATAGTTTAATATTATCTTGTATCTTATTTCCAGAAGGTACAGAGTTGTTACATAGAATGCATTTTTTTTTTTTTATCCCTCCAAATGCATTGTCCAGTAGAGTTGAAAACCATTGTTTTGGCATACTTCATCTAATGTAAAAGTTGAGATGAGGGGAAATAGTCTTCCAGTTGTTAATGGCTTAATCTAAATTTAACTCATTTGGGTTGTTGGATTTATCCATGTTCTATTGAGGTTTTGGATTTTGTATTTCTGTAGAAATATTAGTGTATTGTATGTACTTTATAGATCCCAGTGTGTGGAAAACAATCTGAATTTCAGACAGCCAAGTAAATGACCATGAACTTCTCTAATTGACTATATAAAATGGTAGATTTTTCTGAACTTGGAAGTATGTTATTCCTGGTTATCAGATAAAAAATCTTTCAAACTCTTTTCCTGGGAGACTTTTGAGACTACTGTTAGTTTTGAGAAACTTTGAATTTTTAGAGTCTTGGCCTTTTTGAGAGACTATTTTAGCCCAAATTAACATAAATTTATTTGATACACTTTAGTTTGGCAGGCATTGTTAGGCACCGGATATACAGAGTTGCACAGAACAGTCTGTAGTTGAAGAAATACTTCGTCACAGTGCTACGAATGCTGAGAAAGAAGTGGGCATTAAGATGTACTGGGGGTGCATGGCCAAGCCAAAGCCCTCCTATAGAAGTTGCTGAGTCTTAAATGAGAGGAGTGGGGACAACTGGGTGGCTCAGTCGGTTAAGCATCCGACTTTGGCTCAGGTCATGATATTGTGGTTCACGAGTTCAAGCCTGTGTGGGGCTCTGTGCTGACAACTCAGACCCTAGAGCCTGCTTTGGAGTGTGTGTGTGTGTGTGTGTGTGTGTGTGTGTGTGTGTGTCCCTCCCCTGCTCGTTCTCTCTCTCTCTCTCTCTCTCTCTCTCTCTGAAAAATAAATAAAAACATTTTAAAAAATTAAAAAAAAATAAGGGGTTAACCAGACAAGGAGGGAAGAAGGAGGGCATTCCAGGTTGAGTGAAAGAGCACGAATAAAGATACTGAGGAGCACAATAGCTATGAACTAAAAGTAATTTTAGTTTTATTAGGTCATAAAGTATAAAATGGAGAGCTCTGGGACCTCACATGCTATGCTAAGGAGCTTGGGTTTTAGCATGGGGTATTTTCTCAGGGTTTTCCACTAAAGTACCACTGAAGTCATCAGAAATTAAATACATGCTTTGGAAGTAAGGAGACAAGGTCCACATAGACTTCCTGCATGTTTGAAATTTCTCTTAAGACTGGTGTTTTATTGTTAAAATATTATTAATAACTTTGCCTTCTATTCTAGAATTGATTAGTTTGTGAGTTCTTAGCTTCAAATTCCTAATTTATAGAATGAGAATAATGGCACTTCTATCTTAGGATTGTTGGGAGGGCTAATAATAACTATAATAATAATAATAATGACCATAATAGCTAATATTTTTTGAGGGCTTATGAAATAGCAGGCCTAACTGCTTTATTTCTATTATCTCATTTAATCCTCAAAATATCTCAGTAAGGTAGGTACATTTATTATCTCCTTACTTCTAACAAAACTGGGGCATAGAGAAGTGAATTTCCTAAGGTTACACAGCTAGTTGGTGGCAGAGCTTGCTTTGAACACAATTGTGAATACAAGACACCTGACTATTCCATTATACTCCCATTCTTTGAGATCATGCCTATGGAACATTGAGCACAGAATCTGCCACACAGTAATTGTAAATGTAAGCAATTATCAGTAGCCAGTAATATTTACTTAAATTGCTTTGTTCAAATCTTTGAGTTAAATTGATGTCCTTAAGGAATTTTGCTGTTTTTCCTGTGGCTTGACTTACTCCCAGCCTGCAGTTAAATGCAGACAATGTGACACACCCATGCTATTAACCACTACCCTTTGTTGCCTCCTCCTTCCTTGTGGGTCTGTCTCCACATTAAATTTTAAATCCATGGCAGGGACCATATCTGTTTTGTTCATCATTGTATACCCAGTTATTCACACTGTATCTAGTACATGAACATGACTAAATCTTTGTACAGTGAGTTAATAAAGATCCAAAAACCTGCCATTTTTAGCTGATCTTAGAATCTAAACGTTCATACCACCTGTAATTGTGGTTTAATTGCTTTACATGTTTTTCCTTTGGTAAGCAGTCTGGTTTGGACCAACCATCTGCTCTTGTGTTCTACAGGGCACTCTCACCTTGGAACTACAAAAACCCTGCTGGGTAACTGGTATTTGTTTGTCCTAATAGAGATCACTCAGGTTTCAGAGAGAGAGGGAGATTAAATAACATTTAGATCTAAAACTAAAATGTTAGAAATATACAAAACAATTTTAAAATGTGTATTCTAAGAAACTTAATATAGAAAGATAAAAGCTTTGGTATTTTTCATTTGCCTTTACATTAAATCATTTCAAATAAAGAGAAAATAATTTTTTTTCAAAGGAGTTCTCTGTTATTGTGGGTTAACTCATATTTTCCTCCTCTCCTCTGTCTAGAATGTCTTAAACCATTCTACCTTAAGAAATTGGATGTTCTTGCAGATAGTCATTGTGGGAGAAAACGTTTCATTTAAGTCCCAGATGAGGACCGGAAACTTGAAATCAGAGGAGCATCTGAAATCAAGTAATATTAGGTAGGATAAAAATTACAAGGGATTTCTTCATGTTTGTATTCCTTTTAGAGATGTATGTTAAAGTATGCATATTCTGTGAGCACTAATAGAAGAGTTAGAGACTTTGTGAAGCATTTGATATTGGCCAGGATGGGAGTGGGGAGTGCTAATTTTTTTTTTTTAACTTATGTGGCTTCACGAGACTTTGGCATATGTTTACTTTGTCATGAGCACTTATATCTTGTAGTTGAAGGAAATTTTTAAAACATTTACTAACGTAAATATAAGACATTTTTATGTTTATGTATGAGGTCTTTGAATATTTATGATAAGTGTAGGTACATGTGATCCGTTTTCTAGATTCTCCTTTAGTATGAAACTTCCTGTGTTTTTGAGTTACATGTATAGCAGTTCATTTGAGTGCAGGGATCATCAGCTCTTTTTAGTTCTCTGTGTCTGCAGTCCAGCCTCCCAATGTGTGTAGAAATAGGTAAATGATTGCATGCTAGGGAAGACCTCTCTAACCACATGGTGAATTAGAAACTGTCACTGCAGCTTGTAATGACAGTTATAGTGACAGAATGTGTGAAGATATCTGATCTCAGAGATGGGACTTTTAAATGAGAAGTGATAGTTGCCTCTAAAAGTTGATACCCTGACGGTGACACCTATAGCCAATCCATTCCAGAAGACCTGCTGGAACCAGACTAAGCTCTGCTACTTTCTGTTTATGTCACTTTCAGCAAGTTATTTAATCACTCTGTGTCCTTGTTTCCTCATTAGCAAAATGAGGATAATCTTACTACTTAACCTGATAGATTTGTTTTGTGAATTAAAGATTTAATAATATATGAAAGCATGTAAACAGGACCTAGCAAATATTAAATGATCAAAGTACTATGATTAGGCTGTTAATTCTTAACAGATGAGTTTAGAGTCTATAATCAATTACCATGATATTACTGTATTTTGTAGGTTGCTTGATGTGTTATTAGGTCCAGTATTTAAAATGTATTTAAGTTATATGATCAAAACTAATGTTTGGAGAGAAGCAAAAAAGAAAATAACAAATTATTTTGCAGCTTTGATGTATCTACCTCTGGTTTCATTTTCTGTACATACTAAGAATATGGTCCTCATGACATGTAAAGTTTTTCTTTCTTTTGTCATTTAGCATTGTATGGTAGTAGATAACATAGGATTTTTGACGCCCATCTTGGAATGTTGTCTTCTTCAACCCTGTGTGCTGCTTCAGAAAGGATCCTATGTCAGAAACCAGATTAGCAAAACTAACTTGGTCATTGAAGTATTGGTGTTATTTATTTTTTTTAACGTTTATTTATTTTTGAGACAGAGAGAGACAGAGCATGAACGGGGGAGGGTCAGAGAGAGAGGGAGACACAGAATCTGAAACAGGCTCCAGGCTCTGAGCGGTCAGCACAGAGCCCGACGCGGGGCTCGAACTCATGACCTGAGCCGAAGTTGGACGCTTAACCGACTGAGCCACCCAGGCGCCCCGAAGTATTGGTGTTATAATCAGAGTGCAGTCCTCCCTTTAGAGTTTTCACTTAGGTTCTTTTATGTAACTTACTGGTTGTCTTATTTACTTCTCATTTCTGAAAGGGAGTTTGTTTCCCTGTTTTACAGATGAAGAAGTTGAAGTTTCTTGGAAAGAAGCTCCAGACCTAAGTTTTTATTCTGTATCATTTTCCATTGCATAACATTGTTTCCTGTAGGATGCACATTTTACCATTCATTAATTTAACAAAATTTTACTGAACAGCTACCGTATAACAGGCATTATTTTAGGTGTTAGAGATACAGCCCTGAACACTTATCTTCTTCCTCACTCCCATTGGCTCTTTCTGTAGTTGAACTGTAGGCATATATCTATCCATGTACTCAACCATAGTGTATTGAAATCATCTGTATATGTCCTCTTATCTTCCACTTTATACTGAGTTGCTTAGAAGTAGTACCTGCCATCATTAAGGCTATTGTCATTTTGACTATTTAGAGTAAAAATATTTACCTTTTTTAATTTGCGTTTACTAGTTGTATATGTTTTCATATTAATTTTTTTCATTGTGTCTAATCCATACATCTCTCATTACTTTTTCTCAACTCTTTGCCTTTGGTAAGCCTCCCTTTCCTATTCATTTTGTAATTATCCTAAAGATTCACCATTCTCCTTAGTTTATCTCCCACTTACGTTCAGACACTGATCTCATCTCCTACTTTATCTCTGAAAGTGATGCAGTGTGTGTAGCTGTGAATTCTCTTGACATCGCCTCATCCCACACTACTCCCTTATTCTCCTGGCACATTTCTATCTAACCTTACATTCCTCCAGTTTCATCCTGCCTCCTTTTCAAAGACAGTTTGGCCTCCTGTCTTACTATTCACATTACCATTTCCTTCCATCTCTTCCAGAATTATCCTCTATCAGTTTTGTTCTCATTTTCTTAAGTCTTCAACCTATTCCATTCTCCTAGCTTCATTTTTTCATTTTAAACATGCTTAAGGCCCTACTATTATAAAAAAGAAACTTGTCTTTACCATGGCTCTCTTCCCTTTTTCTTCACAGCTTAGCATTTTAAGAACTGACCTAAACTACTACTACTTATTTTTTCCTCAGCCCCCTGCAATTTGACATAGTCTCTTCTCTGACAGGGCTATTATTGACCTTTATTTCACCAAATCCAACCCACTTTCTAGTCCTTACAGCAAATCTGCCCCTTGAAAATGAGTGTAGCTCATTCTCTCTCTGACTTCACTTAGCATAATAACCTCTAGGTCTATCCATGTTGTCTCAGATGGCAAGATCTCATCCTTTTTTTGTGGCTGTATGATACTCCATTGTGTATACATGCTACATCTTCTTTATCCATTCATCTATTGAGACACTTGGGTTGCTTCCTTTATCTTGGCTATTGTAAATAATGATTCAATAAACATAAGGATACATACATCTTTTCAGTTTAGTGTTTTAATTTTCTTTGTGTAAATACCCGGTAGGCATTATTGGACCATATGCTATTTCTATTTTTAATTTTTTGAGGATCCATATGATTTCACTTACATGTGGAATCCACAAAAACAAAACAAGCAAATAAATGAACGAAAAGCAGAATCAGACCTATCAATACAGAAAACAAACTGGTTGCCAGAAAAAAAGGGGATGGAGGGCCAGGCAAAATAAACGGGTGAAGGGGAGAAGGAGATATAGGCTTCCAGTTAGGGAAAGAGTAAGTCACAGGAATAAAAGGTATAGCATAGGGAATATGGTCAGTGGTTTTGTAATAGCATTGTACAGTGATAGATGGTAGCTACAGTTGTGCTGAGTATAGTGTAACAAATAGAGTTGTTGGATCACTGCGTTGTACAACCTGAAACTAATGTAACCTTGTGTGTCAACTATACTCAAATTAAAAAATGAAGATTGAGAGCTAGATTCTCCCTTCTGCCATTCTGGACAATTACATTTTTCTTATAGGTTTAACTACCATCAGTGTGCTGGTCACTCCCGCAGTGTATCCCTAGTCTTAATGGCTCCTCTGTGCTTGACACTTAATCTCTAAGTTCCTGCTTATACCCCTTACTTTCTCATATATCCAGCTGTCCAAGCTAACAATCTGGGAATGATTTGGACTGTTTTCTCAGCTTTGTCTTTCCTTCTACTGACTTTATTAACAGGTATTTCTTGAGTCTAGGCTTTTCTGTTCCATCTGTATGGTCACTTCCTCCCTTCCAGACTTGCCCTTTTAAAATCCATCTTCATGAATGTTGTGTAATCTTTTAAAAATGAAGTTCTGACAATGGTGTGCTCCTGCTTAAAACTTGGCACTGGTGTCCTATTGTTTAAAAGACAGAGGTCTGAGCTCCTTAACGTGTCATGTAAAGTCTCACAGTCTGCTGTCTGCCTTGGTTCACCAGTCATCTCCTGTATTTTCTTACCGTGTATTTTATGTTCTATGTTCCAGTCTTACCGTGTATTTTATGTTCTATGTTCCAGTCTCCCACCTTCACTGACTTAGCTGTCTTTACTGTGTTATTTTCTCTGCCTGGAAAAACTTCTTATCCTTTGATATTTCCAGAGAGGACTGGCCCTTAATCAAACTAGATACACAGTTTCAAATAATAGAATTTTAGGATAAATGTTGTAATGTAGAGCATTGGAATAATGTCAGGAGGCTTGAAAATTCATGACAAACTGTAAAGTGCCACAGAGAGAAAGCAAATTAGTGTTTTTGTTCCTTACTGAGACAAGCCCCTTTAGGAGCAGCATCTTCCCTAGATACCCTTTTCTATGTGAAATTCAAAAGTAGAGCAATATGATTTACTTTTTATTAATCCTATGAGACTTGGTGATGTCTTAGAGATCTGTAGATTGTGTATTTGTGTGCTTGCATGTGTAGGCTCACACTCACCTTACAGTATCTGGCCTATTTTGTACAAATAATTATGATATGTAATTATGTAGATGGTTATAATTGATGAACACTGTTATTATTCCAAATACTCCTTAGTACTCTATGAAGATAAGCAAATATATTAACTTAAAATAAAACCTACCATGGCTTTTGTTTAAATTTCAAAAAAAAATATTTTAGCCTTCCCTCCCAAAACAAAAGAAGCTGATTCACTTTTCCTTAGCAACTGAGTTTGAAGATGTTGGCTTATTTGAAGATGAGTTTTAGAAGATGTTGGCTTATTTTCCTGTGTTCTGCTCATAAGAGAAACAGAGTTGGAAGTTCAGGTCGAAGGACTCTTCCATTGTGTCTGCCCCTGATTTTGAGATATCTTATATTTTCAATCACAAATTTTAATATCGGTTCTTAACAAAGATTATCTTATTATATATGTTATCTTGCATTGTTATTGTAAGTACTATGTATAATCAAGGTGTTTGTTAAAGAAGATGGCCATTACTTTTAGAGTTTTCTTCTCTAACAACATTATAAAAAACATTGTAAGATGTTTAAGTATTGAATGCCCCAGTTTTGTGGGCTATTTCTATT